AACGCCTTCGACAATTGATGGAAGGAATTACTATGTAATTTTTGTTGACCAATATACACATTACTGTGTGACATATTTATTGACACATAAATCAGATGTATTTTCTGTTTTTAAAGATTTTGTTGCTAAAAGCGAATCCCATTTCAATTTAAAAATTGTCAATCTATACATAGATAACGGTAGAGAATATCTATCTTCTGAGATGAAGGATTATTGTATTCAAAAAGGGATAAGCTACCATTTGACAGTTCCATATACCCCTCAATTAAATGGTGTGTCCGAACGCATGATCAGGTCTATAACCGAAAAAGCTCGTGCTATGGTGAGTGGAGCTAAATTAGACAAGAGTTTTTGGGGAGAGGCTGTTCTAACAGCAACATATTTAATAAACCGAATTCCAAGTAAAGCGTTGGGAAAAGAGACGAAAACACCTTATGAAAAGTGGCACAATAAAAAACCAAATTTAAAATACTTGAAAGTGTTTGGTTCAACGGTGTACGTACATAATAAAGTGAGAAAATGCAAGTTTGATGAAAAGTCATCAAAAGGTATCCTTGTTGGATATGAACCAAATGGATATAAGGTGTTGGATGTTGAAACTGGAACTTTTTTGATAGCAAGAGATGTTATTGTGGATGAGATAAATATGGTAAATTCCAGAAATTCCACTAAAAAAGTAATAGAACAAAATAACCTCAGAAGTGACCAAAATATCCCGAATGAGAGTACGGAAATGATGAGAACTTTCCCGAACGATAGTACGGAAATGATAAAAACTTTCCCGAATGATAGTACGGAAATGATAAGAACTTTCCCGAATGATAGTACGGAAATGATGAAAACTTTCCCGAATGATAGTACGGAAAGAGAATACAACATGAATGATACGATAACTAATGTCGATCTAAATATTAATGGTGACATTGTATTTGAAAATACAAAAGAACACAACAGGCAGTTGTCTGACTTGGAACCTTCAACTGAAATCAGAAGAAGTAAGAGACTAAGAGAAAAGCCACCAGTTTCATACAAAGAAAGTGAAGATCCATTTTATGAATGTATGATGGGTGTCCAAACTAATACTGATATACCAAGTACTTTTGACGAAATTAAAAATAGGAGCGATAGGATACAATGGGAAGAAGCGATTAATGATGAGCTTAGATCGCATTTTGAGAACGAGACTTGGTCTGTTGTAGAAAAACCTGTTGGTAAGAACATAGTTGACAGTAAGTGGGTTTTTTCATTGAAACATAATGAAATGGGTAACCCAGTTAGATACAAAGCTAGACTAGTTGCTCGTGGTTTTACCCAAGAGTACTTAGTTGATTATGATGAAACTTTTGCTCCAGTGGCTAGAATTTCTAGTTTTCGGTTTTTGTTAGCTTTTTCTAACCAATACAATTTAAAAGTTCACCATATGGATGTTAAGACTGCGTTTTTAATATTTCATTGGGATAAATAAAAACTATTACTAATTTTAAGAAATACTTAATGAAAGAAAGATTTATAGATCAAATATTTTTGAATCAGTCAGCATATATACCAGAAATATTCTAAAAAGATTTAAAATGGATGACTGTAGACCAGTAAGTACTCCCATGCCCACTAAACCAAATTATGAAGAACTTAACTCTGATAAAAAGTATGATGCACCATGTCGCAACTTAATCGGTTGCTTAATGTATGTTATGTTGTGCACACGTCCAGATTTGAGTACTGCAATTAATATACTGAGTCGCTATAGCAATAAAAATAACATAGAGTTATGGCAATGTCTTAAACGAGTGTTGAGGTATCTTAAAGGTACTATTAATTTAAAACTGGTATACAAAAGGAATTCTAGTTATAGTGACATGATTATTGGATATGTGGACTCTGATTGGGGTGGAAGTGAGCTTGATAGGAAAAGTACAACAGGATTCCTATTTAAAATGTTCGAAACTTCTCTAGTTTGTTGGAATACAAGGAAGCAGAATTCTGTTGCAGCTTCGTCCACAGAAGCTGAATATATGGCTTTGTTTGAAGCAGTAAGGGAAGCAATATGGTTGAAATCATTATTGAGTAGTATCAAAACAGAGTTAGAAGCACCAATTAAATTATATGAAGATAATCAAGGCTGTATAAGCATAGCTAAAAATCCATCAAGCCACAAACGATCTAAACATATTGATGTTAAATATCATTTTTCCCGAGAACAGGTGGAAAATAAACTAATTACCATTGAGTATATTCCTACAGATAAACAGATAGCTGATGTTCTGACGAAACCCCTGCCAACTGCTAAATTTCTGGATTTTAGATGTCAACTCGGTTTAAATGATGATAAATAATTTTTTTTTTTTTTTTTTTTTTTATTCGGTCTGATTAGGTTTTACTGGGTTTTCCTAATCCTTGCAACAAATGTTGGACTATATTTTTGTTTTTCCCCAGATATAACAACTTGTCACATTATGTAGTAATTTTTATGATACCACTATTTAATATAACTTAATATGTATATTACTTGTAATGACCAATGTATTTTTGAGGGGTTGTGTTGGAGAAACATAAACTAAATTGTTTATTGGGAAAACATATTATGTTTTAAATTTTGAATTGAATTTCTGTTACCATGCAAAAATACATTGTTCAGTAATTCATATTGTTATCCTTTTCTATTTCGTTTCTTTTGTTATTGTAATTTGTATTTGAATTTATTTGTTCTCTTCATTAATTTTATAATTTACCGAAATGTATTATTTTTGAAATAGTAGGCTTTTCAAATTTGTTTTTTCCATATTGGAATTAAGAAAATTTTTCATTCAGTCCTTTGTGATACATAGTGAAGACAAGTTGTATAATAATAAAATATTTGAATTGCGGAATAAAAGAAAAACTGTTTTATTTATATAGCTGAAAATCTAATACATTCTAAGGAGATATTATTCACAGAGTAATGATATTCATATCAAGAGTGGAGAAGGTCTTCTAAACACAATGGAAATTTATATTTACACAGGATTGCTAATTGATTCCAAGATGGATAATAACACACGTTTATTCAAAATGATCAAAAGAAGCTGAAATTGTTTTCGCCTTTATAAATTTTTAGTTTGTTTTTGAAATGTTCTCTCAGTATTGGTAATTTGGAAAGACAAACCAAATACAGAAAATATAAACCTCCAATACGAGAAAATGAAATCAGTTTTTATTCACATATCAAAAATTTGCTTTATTCTTGCGAATATTTATTATTCCCATCAAAATTTCCTATTTGATGGGAATAATATGCCAATTTTCTAACTGAAACAATATATTTTGTTTTTGCAAAATAGTCAGTCCAAAATCCCAGTTTGTTGTTTTTATAAAAAAAGCTATTAATAGCTTCTTTACAAAAAACCTTTCAAACCCAAATGTCTCTTGTGACAATTCGAAGTTCTTAGCAGTGGGAAATGTATTGTAATTGTAGCAGCGGGAAATGTATTGTAGTTGTCTGTAAATGTCTTGTTGACCACGAAGTCAGGCGTCAACGAAACGAACTTCTCATTGGGGTCGTATCGCTGGTAACGTAAGAACTTCGAATTGTCACAAGAGACATTTGGGTTTGAAAGGTTTTTTGTAAAGAAGCTATTAATAGCTTCTGGGGAGAATATCCCAACAAAAAACTAAGGGAACTGATAAGGATCAGTGGCGAGATCCGAAACTATAGTCTTCCCTGCCTTACCCCTCGGCGGACAATGCCATACATTCCCCACTAATAAATAGTTGTTTTTTTTATAAAAACAACAAACTGGGATTAAGACTGACTATTTTGCAAAAACAAAATACAAATGGGATCCCAAATAACCCGCCAAACACTACTGATGAAGACAATATATTTAAAAAAATAATAATATTCAGGTTTGCTAATCATGAAAATATTAAAAGCTATGCCAAAACTTTGACAATAATAAAATGGCCTCGTTAAATCGAAGTATATAATCTCATTAGTGGTCCTACATTGAGCATATGGATTTTTCTAAATTGCAAGGGTTATATAATGGCGAGGAATCGATTTGTCAAACTTCCTTTTCTATCGCTTTAAGCTAATTTTCAAATTAAAAATTAAATCGAGTTGTACAGCTGTACGATACAAATAATACATATCAATATTAAACAGTATTTAAAATATTCCAATTTATTTTGCGATCATTAAGACATTATTTTTTTAAATATTTTATAAAGACTAAAAATTGAAATAATATACAATTATGGTTTATTTTCATATGCAAAATATTTTACTGTCCTTTATAATTTTTTTTTCGAGTGATAACTTTTTGCCTCTTCCTTTCGAATATCATAGACCCCCCTCGTAATGAAAAGATTACTGCATCGTTTGCCAAACTGAAGTATGTGGATTACTTCTCTTAATACCTTAGGAGAACATTTATATTGTCAGTAATGTGATTTCACTTTAAAAGCCATTTACCTTTGGTATCATTATACCACAATAGATGATGGATGATACATCCTGCAATAATTTCTAAACACGAATTACATCAATATATACACACACAATATCTTTTTTTTATTTACTAAAATTCACTAAATATTAATTTAATAATATTTTTATTTCTATTTAATATTTATATGTATGTTTGCAACTACTACTACTGTACTACCACCATCTCTCATCTATGTATTTGTTTGTGTGACCTAACACAGTTATTTTGAATCCATCCGATTTCGATTATCTGCTAACCAAGGGGAATAACAACACACCAGTGGATCGTAGTTCGTTGCTATTGAAATTTGATCCATTACTCGGTTGTCCAGTGCCAGCCAATCAAGGACAACAAACGCAACAGCAGCAACAACTACACTTACAAATACCAACTAATCTCAATAATAATCCTTGTCTAAGTCCAACCATAGAAGAGGACGAGCTTAACGAAAGTACAAATCGTTCATTTGTTGTAGATAACGCCAGAACATCGCTAGGTAGTGGTGGTGCTTGTAGTGGTTTTGGCCGGCCATCTGCATTACCCTCAAGTGCCAAATTACTAAAGGAACGGTCACAAGAAGTCAAACAGCAATTGCAGCAACAGCAAAATAAACGTCAATTACCACAACCTGGAACAAAGGTAAGTGCATTTATTGTAAATAAAATTATATTTTTTTATCTATGATTCATTCTTTTTTTGTTTTATTTTTTAATATTCCACAGAAGAATGCCACAATGAGTGTCGATGTGATTAAGGATATGAGTTTAGATAATAACGATTGTAATAAAACCTTTGAAAATTCCAAGTAAGTTTTGTTTGTCATTATTGTCGATTCGAATTTTGGTCTTAACCTTGTGTCATATTTTTTTTATAGTTCCACACAACCCGATGATAAACAGATCAACTATAAAATGGATGAACTTGAAAAGAAAGTCAAAAATGAAGTGTAAGTATATTCACATGCTTCCGCATAAATAAATTTGTTTGAATGCGCGTGGGTGGGTTGTTTGTTGTATGCATTTGCAATTTTATGACTTGTCGCAAAATGTGAAAAGAGACGATATTTCTGGCAGTCACGCTGAAATAAATCTTCAAATGTAAATGTCCCTGATCTTAATTTGAGTGGCACTGCATCTGTGGTAAATCACATGATTTTATATAGAAGTAAAAGTAAATTTGTGTTTTTTATTACATTGATTTATACTTGAGTTCTTGGTACTAAAAGGTAAAGAAGAATATTTCATTTATCTGTGGTTTAATCCCATAAGTTCGACAACATATTGTCAGAATTGGCATTTTGAAGGAAATCTTTATATTAGGAATCCTGTATTTAAGGCCCAATGTTACGCATATTTAGCATTAATGGCGACGACCCATTTGAAATAAAAAAAATAATCGTAAAAGATATATTCAATCAGTTATCGCACCATAAACAGTAATGCAATTAATCCGGTATAATATTTAGTATAGTGTCGCCTTCATTACTGAAGAATTTAAACACCGCTAATGAAATTGGCGATATTATTTACAGGATTTGGACTTATAGTATTCCAGAGTCCATTTTTACTTCCCTAAAAATATACGATTTTATTATCACACATATATGATAGGCGTTCCTAATAATTATGACACGGTATGTGTTATCATCCTCTCTATTACTCTCACATGTGTTGTAGGTTTTAGTGCAGCAGCTGTGCCACATGTATTTATTTTTTATGTGTTGCATCCCTATCGATTTTTTTTGTATCTGTATATATCTTGATATATGGTCGCATCAAACTCTTTTTGGATTTTTTGTCATTCACTGTTTGTTCTGATGTCATTTTTATTTGTACTTTGAATGTACATGTTCATACACACACACACTTTTGTTACACACTGTTTCCGACATGTTGCTGCAACAATTGATGTTACCTAACCTTGAAAACTTGGGAATAGTCCAAAGGGTCATCGAAATATGGAGAAGATGTAGTTTTATAATAAACAATTGCTGTCAACAAAGATTAAGAAACCTTTCAATGGGCAGTTTTTTCACTTTTCTTTTGGTTCAAAGAAACAAAAAAATCCAAAATTGCCCTCGAAAAGAATTTTGGTATTGCTACAAAATTGTGATGATTTTAATATTTGCAATTGAAATATCTACCAACTGGTAACTGTTCATTTACCTTTATTTTTTAATTATTTTCTATGCAATCTATTGACCTTCCACGAAAAAAACATTACAACCAAAAACTGGAAACAGTGTTTGCGGCAATCTGACCTTTGCTGTTTTATTGTTCTTGTTGCTGCTGCTTGTAAATGACTCATTATTGGTTGTCGTTTCTTCTTTTTTTTTTTTTTGCAATTTGTTTGAGTTCATTTTTGGTACAAATTAAACGCTCTGTAATGGAAAAAGAGGCAACTTGTTGATATTATTTGTAATACATTAGCTATTATTTTGTGTATTTGCCAAAAGAAACACATACGCAGTATTGTAATTAAAAAAATAATTTTATTTCAGTCTCAAAACTGAGGACATTGAGAAAAAACTGAGAGAAGCTGAGCTAAGGGAAGAAGCTTTAATAAAACGTATCACAGAAAAAGACAAAACTGTAGCGAAAATGACGTAAGTTTTTCTATTTGAAATTAAGTATTTCAACAAATTAATTTTTTGTTTGTCTTGTATTTTTTAGTGGGGTAATTGAAGCATATGAAAAAGCCATAGCTGAATTAATTGCCGAAAAGGAACAGTTAATACAGAATTATGAAAAGCAATTGGCCGAAGTAAAGGCTGATCGTGATTCAAATTATCATCATTTAACATCACTGGAAACAACATTTTCCGATTTGCATGTGTAAGTGAATTTGCTTTGATCATCATTTCAAATTTTTTAATTCATTTGTTTTATTCCGTATTTTTTAGAAAATATGAAAAGAGCAAAGAAATGACCTGCCAATTAAAAGGAAACGAAGAAAACTTAATAGCAGAAAATCGTAAAAATGCTGAAAATCTGCGATTACAGGAGCAACGATATGATAAAATGAAAAACCATGCAATGCAACAATTGGAAATGTAAGTAATTGAAAAAGATTTGGTATCACTCATTTAAATGAAATGCAAAATACTCAATTTGATCACATTTATTTTTCAGAGCCAATAAAAAACTAGAAGCTCTGGCACGAGAGCACCAATTGGAGACAACAAAACTGAAAGCCTTACTTAAAAAAGAAGAAATTGCGCGATCGTCTATGAGCGAGCAACTCGCCCAAAAAGCTAAAGAAAATGCAGAGCTTGTTAAGATATGTGATGAATTAATATCGGGCCAAGGAAGTTAAAGAGAATTACGAGGACTGGATTTCAATTTCTAAACAATTGAAATCTTTTCCGCAATGAGAGATGATATTTTTTACATAATTATAATATAATACTAATTTATTTAATGTTTTCTAATTTGTATTTTAGTTGCCTAAGCGATGATTTAACTAAAAGAAACAAACAAAACAACAAACAAAAAATACGAATAATAAGAAATCTAAACAAAAGCGCACATAGAACATTTTATTGTTTTTATTTTTCTATTTTGTATGGATAGAAATCCTGGTTGTTGTTTTTTTTCTCTCTCTCTCTTAATCTATCTATCGAAACCCATAAAACGAAGGCGCTTAAAAAATATATTTAACAACAAACCCACTATTGTAGAAAACTCTCAATTCATTAAAAATAAATTTATTTTATAAGAAAAAACAAAAAAATTACTACACAAGCAAACACCATGAGTAACTCAAAAGATCTGCGGAAGAGAGCGCATGAAAACAATCAACAAAAGATACATCATTTTGTAAGATTTTAGTTAACTTTTTTTTGTTCTTATTGAAAAAATCTCAGTCTTTTGTTGTTAAAACTAGTCTTTGGGTTATGTTTTATTTATTTATTTTTTTTTTCATCTTCTCATACAACTTTATACTCACCAACCTTAACTGAACTCTTGAAAGGCTCTATTAATATTAATATTATTTTATTTATAATTATAATTTTTTAACTTTCATTGTATTTTAGTTTAGTATTTACAAATGTATTGTTTTTTTATTTTAATTACAAAAGATACAGCCAATAATTTTTAAAACTACTAAATTAAAATATAAAGAAAAAGGTTTAATAATAATTCATATTCTAAAGAATGAAATAAAGAAATATTTTAATGCCATGTTCTGAATGGAAAGTTTTCTCTAAATTCGTAAGAAGAGGAATTACACAATTTGAAACAAGTTCAAAGAATTGAAGAAACATTGGAGCACATTTCACCCACTGTAAACCAAAACTTTGTCTTCCTAAGCATGTACTTTGGGAATAAAAAACCACATTTTAACTCATTTTAAAATGTAAAATTCTTATAAAAAAAAATTTTAACATTCCCAATGTCCAAAGTCTCGACTGAATAGAAATGAGGCTTGATTGTCTTTTAGAATATAATTTCTATGGGTAAATAATATCTTTTCTGACAGTTCAAATTTGTTTCTAAAATGTGTCAACAATCGAATAAATTTTCTAGTTGAGAATATTGAGATAAATTGTTTGAATTAACGTCTATGTAGTAAACTGCTTGACGAAAAATGGTGAACCATTCACTTTACGAAGTCCTCAAGAGATGAAATTTCATACTTTCTTACTTATACCACCAACACAAAAACCACGACTTCAGCGCCACATTAAACGAGAATATATTCACACAAATGTTCAAATGTTTTTTTTTTCTGAACATTTTCCAAGTAGAAAAGGAGAATTTCCAAGTGGTGAAATTTGAAGTTATTGAAAATTGTTCAATATTTGAAGTTCCAATTGAAAGCAATATTGCACAGAAATTTAAATATTTGCTAAATCTAGGTTCTCAAACATCAATAAGACGATTCGAAAAATGTTACAGGTACAATTAATGCACATAAAATAAATATTTGAAGTTAAGAAATTAATTGGTAATATTACATGGTAAATAGTAAATTAAAATCGAAGCAATTATTAATCCAATCTGTGGAACCAATAACAACATAAGTAAAAAGTAATTCCTATATACGTCGTTGATATGTATTATTCTTTATGTAATAAAGTTTGAGCTTTATGTTTTATTTCTGATTTGTATCTAAATATTGATGGAAAAACTTTTTCCAAAAATATTACGCAAAGTTTTAATGGTACCATGTTCTTAAATTTAAGTATAATTTTATATAACATGAAGCAAAGCAATCCACTTTAGGAATGTGGTTTTCAGCAATTTACTCTCATTTTTCTATTCCCTATGTGTTGTTGTTAGGAAACCACCAAATCAATTAAATGCACGCCATGCAATTCTTTTAAATGGAATTTCACTTTCATTTCAATAAATGTAGCAAAAGGATATAATGAAAGTTTGAAATTCTGGGAAATCACGAAAACTAAAACACAGTAATTCAAGATTTTTTTGCTAAATAAAAAATTGGATTATTTGATGTTGCTGTGTTTTAAAAACACGTATTCTTTTAATACGTTTTTTACCATGATATCCAATATGGGGGTTTTCTTATTCAACATTTACATACACACATCGTTCCAACAATGTATTCACATTCTATGGCAATTTGTAATATTGTAAAATTTATGAAATCTTATCGTAAGAAAAAATATACAATTTTGCAATATTGTAAAATTTTTGAAATCTTTTCTTGAAAAAATAAATAAAAATGAAGGCTGAATATTTTATTATTTTTTAATTTGCTTATTAAAAAATAAAATTCAAAAATCCTTTCTTACTAATAAACACAAAAAAACTTTAAAGCAAACATTTCCGTTTAAGTCATTTCTTAAAACTAAATTGCATTAAAAAAGAATAAAATCAAACATTCATATATATTTTTAACCATATAGGACATTATTCATCCTCCATTAAAAAAACAAAACACACTAAACTGGAAAAAGGAAACAAATCCTATATTTATATTTATATATATATATATATGAATCTCCTATGTATATCCTATTTGTATGTATAATTTAATATCTATGCCTATTTGTAGAGGTACCAAATCATGAACCTATAACAGAATTAAAAAAATAAAATAATGACTGCTTCTGAGAACAAAATAGTTTTATGGCAAAGGAAGCTTTAAAACTATGGAAATTATAAGAAAAATCATAAACACTTAATTTAATAATGCTTGTTTTGTAATATATAAAGGAAGGAAAATATATATGCCACTATATATATTAGTTGGATTTTAAGTTATTGTTAAATGCAAATAAAAAATACACACACATACTTCTACATTAATATATAAAATCGACAACAACAACAAGACAAAAACAAAGTAATTTAGTAATATTATTATTTCTTAACATATATTAAAACATTGTACAGCTCAAAACAGTTGAGCTGGTTCACAACTCCCTCATATGATGAACAAACAAATAAGAAAACACAGCATCGGTATAGTTTTATATAGACGAGATTTAGTTTTAAATACAACCTATGAAATGATAAAGAAGAGGAACAACAAAAAGATATAAAAAGAAGTTGCAAATAAAAGAAAATCATTACTCCAATAAAAAAAGAAAAGAAACACTAATGAAAAAAGAAGAAATACTAAATATAAATAAATATTAATACATTATATACTAAAAAGGTGTGGTGTTTTTTTTTTTTTAATGTATTATATTACATGGTTGGTATAAGGAATTCCAAAGAGACAAGTAAAAACAGCAAAACAAAAACAAATTGTCAGCTCCAATAGTAACTAGATTTGGAAAATGCAATTTTTAACGACTGTAAATTTCAAAATCAATACAAATGAACGCTTAGCACTGGAGTCAGCTTTGGGTCTAAATAAATGTTTTTTCTGAATATAATGTCAAATGCATGTTCCAGGCACAACTACACCCTCAATCTAATGGCGGAAGATAAACCAAAAATGTTACTATAAATGTATACATACTTTTAGGCTGTAATCAATATTAAAAACATGCACCTTAAAGAAGCATACAGGTAGGAATTAATGACCCAAATCCGTTTCAGGATTTATTGGCGGTTTGTTTGGAATGCCATTTGTTTTTATTCAAAGTACTCGGGCATAATATCATGTTATTTTTTTATATTAAACCCTTTTTTATTATTAAATAAAAGGACAAATATACACTCGTTTCAAAATAGTTTATTAGTATGGCTCAAAAAGTTCGCAATATAACAAAAATACAAAGTAATAAATGCAAAATACAGACATCAATGCAGGACTCTATTTTTCATCAACTGATTATCATTGTAGGTGTCATTTATCTAGGACACATGGCATGACGGCCACCATCAACAGCCAAACTAACACCGGTACTGAACGATGCCAATTCGCTTGCCAAGAAACAAATGGCATTAGCCACCTCATCAGCAGTACCAGGACGACCCAAAGCGTGTGTTGTCTTAGAATGTTCCAAAAATTTGGCATACGTTTCCGGATCCATACCACCACGTTTGTGTAGATTAGTCACAGTCACACCGGGATTAACACAATTGACACGTACACCCTTAGCAGCCAATTCCAAGGCGGCACAACGTGTAAATTGATCTACACCCATTTTAGAAATATTATAAGCCAAGACACCGGGGAAAGAACGAATGCCATTAACACTGGACACATTGACAATGTTGCCTTTGGTCTTAATTAATTCCGGCACAGCCAACATACTCAAATGATATATGGATCGAAGATTTGTATTCATGACACGATCAAATTGTTCCAAACTGGTATTTTCGATTGTTCCCGTTTCAATAATACCGGCATTGTTGACCAAAACATCGAGGCGTTGGTGTTTCTTCAAAGTTTCTTGCCAAACGCGTTCCGTATCCGCTTCCTTGGAAATGTCGCCCACCACCAGTTGGGGTGTTTGTTTCTTTCCTTCGTTGGCGCACAACTTAGCTACTTTTTCTAAATTTTCCACATTGCGACCATTCAATGCCAAAGTGGCACCAAGTTGGGCGAATTTCACAGCTGTAGCAGCACCGATACCCGATGAAGCTCCAGTGATCAGAACTACTTTGCCAGCAAAGTTCATCTTATCTGTAGAAAACAAGAATTCAAATTAGTTCGAAAACATGCCTACTTATTTTGGAATTGCGTAATTTTGTTGTTTGTTTCTTCTGTACTTACTCCGTACTTTTTTCCACAATTGTTTGAGATCGTCTGATTTTTGTTTCGTTCTTTGTTGTGATTGTCCCTTATCACCGCCATCATCATCTTCATCTGTCTCCTATTCATTTTTGTTTTGATTACTCAGTATAAAGTAGGTAGCCGGTTCGCATTCTGATAATTCAATATGTTTTTTAGCCGGCTGAGGTTAACCCCTTTGGGGCTTTGGGAAAAAATATTTTGTAAAAGTATATACTTTTCAAAGTCTCTTATGATGCTATAAAATGACTTTGTGTATTTGAAAGTGTATTTTTTTCTATAAAAAATTTGAAATCAAAGTTTATCAATAATAACTGAACGGATTTATCACAGTCAACTCTAGGCGTTATATCGTTCAAGAAATCGATTTTTCAGAAAATGCCTTTAAATTGTTCAATTAACACCCACCTTATATGGGACAGTGTAACATCTAGAGCCCTCCAAGCAGAATGGGTAGGATTTGATTTTTTTTACACAATATAAAGTCTGATATAGCGATTTATTCTGCATCATAAGGTCAAAAATCACAATTTTTGGTATATGTCGGTCATGCAGCTAATGTTTAAAAAACAAGTTACATACGACTTAATTTTTTGTCTTAAAAGTCCTAAAACATTTTACAAAAATTAATCTATCTTTAAACTTATTTAATTTGCTTGCTATTTTTAACCATAACCTCAATTATTGCATTTGCACAATTAAAAACAAATTATTTTAATCATATACAAAATTTCATTTATTTGACAAATATGTATATTTACAACATATACACATTTTAATATTTATCTTGGACACATGGCATGACGGCCACCATCGACAGGCATATTAACACCTGTAATAAAACTGGCCTTATCACTGGCCAAGAAACAAATAACACCCGAGACTTCATTCACTTCACCGGCACGGCCCAGAGCATGTGTGGCCTTACAATGTTCCAAGAATTTTTGATAAGCTTCCTCATCCATACCGCCACGTTTATGCAACTCCGTAATGATAACACCAGGATTGACAGAATTGCAACGGACACCAGCCGAAGCCAATTCCAAGGCCACACAACGAGTAAATTGATCCACAGCCGATTTTGAAATGTTATATGCCAATACATTGGGGAATGCACGCAAACCACAGACACTGGAAATATTCACAATATTTCCTTTGGTCTTCTTCAGTTCGGGTACAGCCAACATGGTCAAATGATATAGTGAACGCATATTAGTATTCATCACACGATCGAACTGCTCCAACGAAGTATTTTCGATAGTGCCATTTTCAATGATACCAGCCGCATTTACCAAAACATCTAATTTCTGGAACTTATCCAAGGTCTCCTTGATGATACGTTGCACGTCATTCTCATTGGTCATGTCGGCCTTGATTTGCAAATGAGTTTCCGGGTTGAGACATTTTGCTGTTGCTTCCTGGAGTTTTTCCACGTTGCGTCCAACCAAAACTAGCTGAGCTCCAAGTTTGGAAAATTCTTGAGCAGTTGCAGCACCAATGCCAGAACTGGCGCCAGTGATAAGAACAACTTTTCCGGAAAAATCCATGTTATGCGGCAAAGTGGTTTTGCGTTTTGACAACAATTAATTAAATGTGGACAGACTCCAGCAAACATATGTTTTTTGTTTATTAACATTTGACAATGCGTTAATACCCCATATAGTAGTCACGCACGACTTTCTATTGTAACGTATGGAAAGCTTTCAAGTTCAATATTTTTATTATTTATTCGGAAAAGGTTACGAATATGTTAATATATTGTACTAGGAACGATAATTTTTTATTATATTTATTCTTTCATCATTGTAGCCATACATATATAAAAATAATTTGAATAATTTGATCAGCCAATCCCGACATTACGTTACATTACGTCCCAATTAACCGCGAAATAATCAGTACCGGACAACAATCATATATATATATAAACATACATAACAATCAATTAAAATATCACTTAGTATCAATACGGACGACATGGATTTTTCTGGCAAGGTCGTAATTGTAACTGGAGCAAGTTCGGGCATTGGTGCCGGTGCTGCTGTACATTTTGCCGAATTGGGTGCTCTCCTGACCATAGTTGGGCGCAATGTTGATAAACTCCAAGAAACTTCCAATCGAATTAAGGCCATCAAAGGCGAGGAACCTCTCCTGGTGAAGGCCGATATGAACAACGAAGATGACGTAAAACGTATTGTCACCGACACTCTTGCTAAATATGGTAAAATCGATGTTTTAGTCAATAATGCTGGAGTTTTGGAAACGGGTACCATAGAAAATACTAGCCTGGAACAATACGATCGCGTCATGAACACAAATATACGTGCCGTCTATCAATTAACCATGTTGGCTGTTCCGGAATTGATTAAGACCAAAGGATCGATTGTAAATGTTTCCAGTGTTAATGGTATTCGATCTTTCCCCGGTGTGTTGGCGTATAATGTCTCCAAGGCAGCTGTGGATCAGTTTACACGTTGTGTTGCCCTTGAATTGGCATTGAAGGGCGTTCGTTGTAATGCCGTTAATCCCGGTGTCATCATTACCGAGATTCACAAGAGAGGTGGTATGGATGAAGAGACATATGCCAAATTCTTGGAACACTCCCGCACCACACATGCTTTGGGCCGACCTGGGCAAGTGGATGAAGTATCAGGAGTTATAGCATTTTTGGCTAGTGATAAGGCTAGCTTTATCACTGGTGCCAGTTTGCCAGTTGACGGTGGACGTCATGCTATGTGTCCCAGATAAGATGTCATTGCATTTATGTATGTATGTTGGTTGATTGGCTATTGTGAAATTATTGTATATATGTATATTGTGTGTATGTATTAATAAAAAAATAGATAATTGTGTTTGCTAAAAATAATTTTAAAGTATACAAAATACATACATTATTTTTATATATGAGATTCTTAATATGAAATAAAAGTCCTTGTAATAACAATTGTTTTGGTATAGATGATGTTTAATGATATGTGAAAAATAATTTTAAAAACAATCCCTTTAAACTATTTTTGTGAATAAACGAGGAATACCTTAAAAGGTCGTTTACATTTAACCGGATTTGGTTAAACCAGTGGGTTTAAATTTTCAATTCCCTTGAATATATGCCAAATAAATCCTCATAAAATAGGTTAACCCGGTAAAAAGTTCTAATGTAAATGCCGTATAACTTTAGGAACTGAAATAAAAAATTATATAGTCAAGTTTTTGAATTCGATTTCGAGAAATAAGTGATTCAAATAAAATAAGTATTAAATTAATCGTGATGTTATGATTTTAATTTAAAACAAAAAAATAAATTTGGTCTGGACTAACAGAACTATGTTTTTATTGAAAAAGTCATTCTAAAATATTTGTGATCAGGATGACTAACATTCCCTTTAGTAGATTACCACTAACCGAGTTGAGAACTTGTATTAATTTTATTCGATAATGATAGGACTTGTATATAGTGTATGAATACATTTATTCGTTGAATTAAATGTAAATATTTTTATCAAAAAGTTGACTATCTGTGGAGAGGTACAAAAAGTGGTTGCCCTTTAATCCCATCTTCGAATAAATAGGTTTTGTAAAATATTACGATGTGCAACAATGAAATAAATCGGTTATTCAATTCGCTTCGTATGAATTATTAAATTAATTTTCAGCAAAATGTTGACCATTTTGTGTGTGAAGGTGTGAACCCATACTGCCCAGCTTACTGCATGATTTATGTTTGGAAGAAATATTACAATGTGCAAAGTTTGGATGAAATCTGTTACTCCCATGGTTCTCACCAAACGACCAGACGGACGGACATTTGTAAATCGACTTCAAATTGTGTGAAATGGATTTGGTCCAAAGAAACATGGGCTCTAAAACCAAGTGTATATACCCTCATTAGCCATAATGATGAGGGTATAAAATTAAAAGAATTCACGTCTTATGTTAGGCCTTCAAAATCCAAGCTCTAAAAAAATCTAAAAAATAAAATCGCTAAAATTATTCGTTACAAATTTGCCCTTGTACTCAAAAACATATTATTTCTCTATTAACAGTAGAAAAAATATTATTTAAATAATCCTTGAAACTTGGATGAATATTCCAAAAAATCTCCACACAATCGGTACATAAAAATTTCCTTTAAGAAATCCACCCCTGGTATGTTTAGCAAACATTAAAAAAATTCCCACTTAACATAAATTTCCTCTAATTTATTGGCACACATAAAAACTACATGTCTTCCCCTATCCAATAGTGAAAGTTTCATCCAAATATCTCCATTCAAAGCCGTGTTATGGCCATTTAAAATTTACCATGTGTCAAAATATAGCTGTTACACGATTCTGTTTGCCTATTACCGCAAATGGGAAAATTGCAGAAATTGCAATTCCGCAAAACAGAAAAATATGCATATGTGTTGCCAGATTGTTTGCTTTTTGTTTCTATGTAAATTAATAAATGTTGAGCATACTTTTAGGCGTTACACAATGCAGAAAACAATGTGGCAACATATCCTGTATTTTTCTGTTTTTATGGAATTGCAATTTCTACAGTTTTTTTATTTACCGTACTAGGCAAACAGAATCGTGTAGCAGCTACATTTTGAGACAGGATCAATATCAAATGGCCATAACTCGGCGATGAATAGAGATATTTGGATGAAAATTTCACTATTAGATAGGCGAAATAGTGTAGTTTTTGTGTGTATCAATAAAATGCAAGAAGAAACAGGTGATGTTGAAATTTTTAACTACAAATACCAGGATAACTGAAATCAATATATTTGGATAATTCGTTCGCACCAGCCAGATAGACGGACATTTGTGAATCGACTCCAAATGGTCTGAAACGGATTGGGTCCAAAGAAAATCGGGGTCTAAAACCAATATTTCCATATATCTCCTAGCAGTGTATATATTATTATTATTAGTCATAAGGCTGAGTTTATAATGAGACAATTTAATTGGAATGAATTGATAATTTATTTCTATGGTAAATTCTGTCCATATATGGACAATGTTTTTATTTATATTGCTTTTGAATATATTTTATACCTTCTTATGCCATGAATTTTTATACCACATATCCTTTTTTAATTAACATTGCTAAAGAGCTTGCTGAGAATTTGTTTCAAAAATTAGAAACCTAAATTTATGGTATGAGTATAAATCTAATACTTTTCTAACAAACACAAATTTTGTCATCTTTGTTCAAGTGCAATGCTAAATTGTTGACATTCATGTTCACAAGCTATATATTGTTTACACCTTAGATCCTTTTTAAACAATTCAATAAAAAAAAAAACAACACCAAATACTGTTTTAACTTATTTTTTATTAAAAACATTTCAGGCCGTCCTATTTTCATCTTGTGTTTTTTTTAAATAAAAAAACTGCTCTTCACAACTATGCTATTATAAATGTTAGATACGAAAATTAACATTCGTAACCATAGGACTTGATGATTTTGTTGAAGGGTTCGGCTTGCTTGGCAATGTTTTCGCGAGCCTTGACTGTCAACTTCTTCATGAGTCTGTTGTGTTTCAAAACGACTTGCAACTTGGCCTTGCGTTTGCGTTCCAAGCTCTTGACGACATCTTGGTGATGCCAGCCGACTTCGCTGGACAAGCGACCCAATTGACAGTATTTGCGGTCAGAGCGCAAGGTCAAAATACGCATAGCGATGGGTACGCAGACACGACGACGCTTATCGTAGGGCGATGGGATACCATCGAAGACACGGAGACGAGCCAAAGCGGCTTGACCGCGCTTGGTTTTGTGTGGGATCATACCTGCAGGAACAGAAAAAATACAATTGCATTAATATAATATTCTAGTGAAAATAAACGACGATAATTTTAGTTAAGTTGGTATATCAGTTAAATTGATTCTTTTCACATTTTCAATCAAATAATGTAGGTAAGATAATTATGTTCATCAGTTAATTAGCGATGACGTTGAAATACATTTAATCCAAATACAAGAAAACATACCTGAAAGAGGAAAAGAAAACCATACATTAGTTTATAGTGAATAATAATAAAATATTTTTAATGTTTGTTATGGTAAATTGTCAGTTGTTAAGTGTTGGTTACATATTTTACTTCAAATAATGTAGGTAAGAAAAATTGGTCATCATGAATGTGGCAGTGTTTATTAATAATGTTCCGATCATGTTCTTGGGATGTTGTTGCTATGTTGTTCCCCTTTGTATATTTAAAGGAAAATAACACTGTGAAATGAATTTCTTTGAGGTACACGATCCGAGCATTACAATGAAGCACACGCCTTGGATTTGCTGACAATAATATTACAAAATCTTACCTCTAACAGCCTTGTAGAAGATTCTGGAAGGGGCACGGAAGTGGAATGGACCACGGGCAGGGTTGACATTGCAACGTTTGCGCAAGTAAGCCAAGTACTTGATCTTGTTTCTGTAGAAATGACCAGAAAGGTTCAATTCTTCGCAACGGACAACAGCAACTTTGCCACCTTGCAACAGGTATTTGGCAACGACGGAAGCCAAGCGACCGACCAAGTGGCCACGACCATCAATAACAACGGCCTAAAATAAAACAACATTGATTAGAGCATGTTCACAGAAATAGAATATTGCCATAAAAACGTGTGAGGTTATGTCAAATCATAAACATCACATACAAACACACACACTCTTCCCAACAAACAAACCCACAAACAGTTCTCTATACACACAACTCATTTAGGAATTTTTCCAAGGCACAGATTTTCACACATTGCGTCCAGGGAGCTGGTTTTGAATATCCTCAGGTTAATTTAATAGCATTTGTAATTATTTGCCTGCTTTGCGTTATCTTTGTTTGGTCCACCACACTACACTTTTGACAGATGTTTTCGAGACGTCACTTATACGAACGGGCACGTGTGAAGGAACTCATTTCAGTATTTACACATTTTTACAAAAGGGTTTTTTTGGAATTTTATTTTTTCGCACTTTAATCCATTCTCTGGTAGTTGGGGCGGTGTTTGTATGTAATTGTTTACAATTTTTCGTTGAAAATTGGTGATTTTTATAAAAATTATCACCACTTACCCTATTCGTTAAACCAGTCATGTTTAAGAACCGCACGGAAAGAAATTCATCGGACGGAAACGGCCATCTTGAAAATTTGACATACGAATTTTGACATTTGTAAACGTTGAATGTGCAGCGTATGGCGTTATTTTCATGCGACTAGAGAATGAAGTATAGGGGGCGCTGTCATTGCAAGTTGAACGATTTATCTTTAAAAGAGATATATATGAACCATAAAAGGAAATTATTTAAAAAGGTTAATTTACAATTTTTATATAGTTTAATAAAAATTAAATCTTAGACAATCGAATAAAATGAAAATAGCTATATAAGGGTTACCCACTGCACAATAATTCGATTTAACCTATATCAACTTACAGATTGCGATGGTTATTACAAGGTAAATATCAATCATGTCCCAAATATCAGGACATCCAGGAAATACACAACCGTGTACATGACCTCTTAAATAAGGTGTACTGGGTGGCGAATGTATGGCTGAGTTTTCTCTTGCAGTCAAGTTTTTAATCGCGAAATACCAAGCAGAACTGAATGAAAATTAAAAATATCTTCAAAGAAAAAACGTAATAGTAAGTTTACATTTAACCGGGTTTCAATTGTCATTTCCTTTGCATATATGCCAAATAAATCCTCATAAAGTAGGTTAACTCGGTAAAAAGTTCTAATGTACAAGGAGTTTAATGATAGAAATATGTACGATTTTTTTGGTCCAAATAAAAATATTTTTGTTTATGTATTCTTATTATTATGCAATTTCATATTTATTTTCGCAATGCGTATTTGGATAAAAGTACGTTTAGATTTACGAAATCCACTCGATCTCATATGTCAATTCCATAGCGTATATGTCAAATACAATCCACTGGATTTGTTAACATGATTAAGGTGACGTATACGCTATGGAATTGACATTTGAGATCGAGTGAATTTCGTAAATCTAAACATACTTTTATCCAAATACGCATTGCGAAACTTGCTCTAACATTCTTTGGAATACATGTATTAAACTTTTGAGGTAAATAAAATCGTACGCATACGCAAGAATTTAGGTACGGGCCTCAAGCAATAATTTTTGACAGTCCATTAAGACTCCAGCTGGTCTTACAAAATATGTAATCGAAAAGAAGGTTTATCGTATTAATAAACCTTCGTTAATTTTACCATTGTTTTTAATAAATACAAATTAAATAAGAATAAATTCAAATTTAATTGAAAAAAAACATTTATTAAAGAAAAAAAAAACATTTAATGTTATTCTAGACTCCACATTTGGAAAAAAGTTATATGTTGACAAAAAACACGAAATTTTTTGCGTATATTTACTTTATTTCTCACGGCACAAGCTACATTCACAATTTTTTCATGGTCTGTGTGTTTTCCCAGAGTATATAATTCCCAGTGGACAGCATAACTAAACATGAACTTTATAAATAAAAGCATGTGTACTAGAAATTTTACAAATTTTCAAAAAAAAAAAAAAAAAAAAAAAGTAAAAATTTAGATACTGAATTGCAGAAAGTAAATGAATAAAACAATTTTTTCATGGCAAAATTATTATTGCACCATGCTATTATTTAAACTAATTTACTTATTATTTGTGCTGAACGCAAGGCTTTATCAAAACAATGTATAGCATTTATTTTTACCTATTCGAAATTAACAAGCCACATGTTAGAGTTGCATTTGTCATTTGTTGTCAAAACATAGACGACCATATAGTATTTGACCATTGTACACACACAGTTGCTGCAAATTTAAATTTTATGTTATAGCTCCCATATATATAACAAATCTATCTGATTTTAAGAATATACGCACTAGCCTATAGATTCTCCCACATTAAATTTATATATCAAGCATTAAGTTTGAATAAATCGTTTAGTTTTTTTTTTAATAATCATTAACACAATTCAGTCGCATTGCTCTTTTCAGGAAATCGTTCAGTGGAACACAGTTCAATTGCCTGTTTCCCATGCCTCCTTTCTCAACAATCGGCTCTCTCAAGCAATGTCCTCATCACACCTCATTCATAACATTTATCTGTTCGCTTAGAGTTCCATCTTTATCATGCATTCTTTCTATCCCTCTCTCTATTTGTATTTGCAGCAGGTGGAACGTTTTTAATTGAAGTCGGTGAAAAAGCGAGCAAAGCAGGGCATCACTCAAATCAACACGGAATTTGGTTAAGAGAAAATAATCCATTTCTTTAAAAAGTACACATTAATTGCCTTTCAAAAGCAACATTTTATAAAAATTATTTATTCAGTTGCTACTATAAATCGGTAAGTTTTTATTTGTAATTTTAATGAGAACCGAGATTCCTTGAGACCACTCCCATATCAATAAAGAAACAAGTGTATTAACTTGCCTTTGTTATCTTTCGTTGTGACCTAAATGATTTATTCGATGAGTAATATTGTAATATTTATTATATCGGCATTTTGTCATTTATCTCTGCAGAACAGTTAACAAAAAATGTGGAAGGCCACCACCGGTATTCAAATCCAGGCTGACAACACTGCCGAAGACGATGACTGGGAAACTGATCCAGATTTTATAAACGATGTCAGTGAACAGGAACAAAGATGGGGATCGAAAACAATAGAAGGCAGTGGTCGTACTGCAGGTGCAATAGAGTAAGTTACCTGTGCTATTTTTGTTATTGTTGTGCTTGTCAAGAAATATATGAACCGGTTGGAAATCTTTATAAAACCCGCTTACCGTACTGCGAAGAAAATGCATTCGGAAACGCAGTTCAATGAACAATTTCTTTTTCAAAATATTTTATGAATCATAAATTTATGATTCGCAAAACAATGATTTCTTTGTCATTGGGCAAATTTGACTGATAAGGGCATGCACTTAGTAGCCGTCGTAGTTTCAAAAATATTTATCCTACCACTAAAACTTTTATGTATGTATGTCGTATTAAATTATGTTCTTCCCTTCAGCATGGAAAAACTGCGGGCTGAAACGGAACAGGCCGATCAAGCTAAAAAGAAAAAAGAACTGGAAGAAATCAACCCAGGTTATGGCTATGGTGGAAAATATGGCGTGCAAACTGATCGTGTTGATAAATCTGCAGCCGGTTGGGATCATATAGAAAAAGTAGAAAAACATGCATCGCAAAAAGATTACGCTAAGGGCTTTGGTGGTAAATTTGGTGTTCAACAGGATCGTGTGGATAAATCTGCCGCTGGTTGGGATCATATCGAAAAAGTGGAAAAGCATGCGTCGCAAAAAGACTACGCCAAGGGCTTCGGTGGTAAATTCGGTGTGCAGGAAGATCGTAAAGATGTTTCTGCTGTTGGTTGGGATTATCGGGAGGCGCCACAAAAACATGAAAGTCAAGTTGATCATAAAATTGTAAGTACACTGTCCACCTTTATTGTCGTTTGAAGAGAAGTCCCTTAAATAATTCTTTATAAAAATGTATGTTATTTCTTTATAGGGGTTCGGAGGCAAATTTGGTGTACAAAAAGACCGAATGGATGCTTCTGCTGTTGCCTACGACGATGGGGAAAAACAAAAAGTAGGCACAAATTATACCAAGACTAAACCCGTTATCGAAGGAGTTAAACCCTCCAATTTACGTGCTAAATTTGAAAATCTAGCCAAAATGACAGAAGAGGAAAATCGTAAAAAGGCTGAAGAGCAAAAACGATTACGCGAAGCTAAAGATAAACGCGATCGTGAAGAGGCAGCCAAAAAGGTTGTGGTGGAAAATCAACCTTTACCCCAAGCTGATGAAGCAAAACAACCACCACCAAAGGGTGCTCGATCGACCATAGTCACTGGACGTGAAGGCGGCATTGGTAATGCCATTAGCGCATTTAATCAAATGCAATCGCCTACAAAGGAGGAGGCGCCAGTTGTTCGCAAAGAACCAATACACATTCCCAGAGAACCCGTTAAGAGCGTAGTCAATGAAAGTGAACCGAAATTAGAGGAAAAACAACCACCTGTAGTGCCAGTAGAGCCAAAGGTAGATGTCATTGCTGCTCCTGTGGAACAAGAGGCCCCTAAAGCTGTTGCCCCACCACCTGATCTGATACCATCTATTGAAATAGATACAGTAGCGACACCACCCCAAATACACTCCCCAGAGCCTGTGGAGACAGTTGCTGAATCAGTTCCTGCTGTTGTTGAAGAGCCCCTATATCAAAATCAAGCTGAAGTGCAACAATCTATTACAGAAGCTGCAGCAGCACAACAACAGTCTGAAGTTGAAGATACCCCAGAAGTTGTATCTGCTACTTCCGAAAATTTAGCAGATTACATTGAAGACACAAATATTCATGCGATTGCTTTGTACGATTATCAGGCAAATGATGATGATGAAATTTCATTTGATCCGGATGATGTTATTACCCACATTGAAATGGTATGTAATGTTGATTCTAATTTTGACTCCATTTATATTTATTTGTATGTTTTTACTTCCAGATTGATGAAGGTTGGTGGCGTGGTCTGTGTAAAAATCGTTATGGTCTTTTCCCAGCTAACTATGTGCAAGTTATAAATAATAAAAATGATTCCTAAGTCCATTTGCAACATTATACGTATCCAGGTTAAAGAAATATAAGACATGTGACTAATATCTACCAAAATTGCCAATTTCTGGAGAAACAAAACAAAAAGTATTTGATCGAGACAACGATTACATTTTAATTATGTATTTATGTAAAACCAGATATACATTTCATTTTGTTTATTATAATAAGCGTCAACAACATTCGTATTTGTTTTATGTTTCAAACATATGATTATTATTTTAGAATTTTTTATATTTTTACATTGCAAAAATTCATTACACAAAGGCATTAAGTATGGACATTATCTACCAGATTATATTTTTTATTTATTATTTCAAAGTTTTAAAAATCCTGAAGCAAGTGCATCAATAAATAAAATAACAACTAACAGACTGTATGAAATTACACAAAACTTAAAACAACAAATAAATATACATTGTTTCTTCTTTGAAAATATAATAATTGTGTTTGTATTTGTTTTTATATCTGATTTAATGTTAAATCTTAGATTTTTGATTTGGAAAGAAAATCATTTTTTTGAACATGGTAGACAATAGAAAATATAAAATGTATATTATCTATATACTGTTTCAAACAGTCAATTTTGATGGGACCCCAAATACAAGTATGAGTGGTAGTATTAACGATAAGAAATGCGTGCTACCAGACAACAGACTGGCGGTGAATAACATCTACTCAAAGTGTTGTCAAATCAATATTAATCCTATGTATTATATAGTCAGAAAAATAAATTACTGGAGATGTTATTTTTGACTTGATATGTGCACACATAGCGACATATACTGATATGTAGAAAACATATATTGAAATGTAACCTTCAAAAACCAGAAATTGCACATGTAATTTTTGTTGAATTTATAACATAATTCGTGGGAAATAATCACCATTATTACGGTTACCGTAGTCGTGTCGAATTTGGAATTTGGCACCGTTGTATTTATACGACAAATCGGTATTATGTAAGTCGTTACAATACGCCAAACCATACAAGAAAAATAATAAAAATTTATTTTAAATATATCTACAGATTAACTCTTACATTACAATTTATTTTATTGCATTCCTCAATATTCATAAGCATTACACTTAGCAGAAAATTAATTAGGAAACAAAGTTGCTTTTCCAATACAATATACATTGTAAAATCTTAGAAAAATCTATTACAAAATTTGGCGTAGTTGTAATGAATGGCCTATATACAAAATTTCCTCCTACACATTTAATAATGGGGATTTGCTTTTATTACCATGGATATTAATCAAATTTAGTCCTTAACAATTTATAGAAATTTTGAATGTTATACCCACTTCTTCAAAATATGTTAGAAATTTAATCCAGTTTTGAAGGCGAATAATATGCGAAACTTTAAGGATTCATAAACAACTGTTTTATGCGACCCTTGTGATTATAAACGAGTACTAATTTTTTGCCATTTTTGATATATACTCCACATTAAATAGCAGCATTTTGGACTTCAGGCTTTGCATGTTAAGTTGGTTTTCCTTTATAAATTGACATTTCATACAAAGCCAATTTAACAGTAAGGCCAAAATCCCCCTTAAGTTTCTTTACATTTTTCAATAAAAAATTAAATTCTTTTATTTTAAAAAATGTAATTCGTTTTATTTATAATTATTTTCCGCTTAAAATATTTCATTATTTTGAATTATCAATGAATTGGCAACCCCTTTTTCGTCCACCTGCTCTCCAACAGCACAAATGGACAACAAATACTCTTAATCCCAGTCTATTTTACTCACACTACAGAGCATAACAACAAACGTCAAAATTTCAAGAGAAAACATATATAAGCTGACAGTCAACTCATAGCTCTCAGTTATTTGACGTTTGTCGTTCGTTGGTGGAGTGCGATTTATTTTGTTTGTTGCGCGAGAATCTATCACCAAATTATTAATTTCTATAAAATCGTCAGAAAAATTATACAAAAAGTATGCTAAACTGCACAAGTTGTTTTATTTAGCTAAAAAATTGAAAATAAAATATTCAATTTAATTAGAAGAGGAAGATGAAAGTGGTAGTGCTGAAGAAGAAATAATGAAATAGACAACACAAAAATTAGAATTATTGAAACAAGTGTTTTTATACCTTTGACATTCATTGATTGATGTGTATGGGTGCGTGTGTGTGTTGTATGTGGTAAAAAGAAAATTCCCTCACCGTTGGTTGTTAACCCAAATAGGAAATGAAATAGTCCATTCTTTTTTTCTGTCTGTTATACGAAACAAAGAGCGCCAACGTGTGATTTGTACAATAATCTGAATAAATACAAAAAAAGACGGCATCAACGAAAGAACTCCAGTAACACAATTCTTAACAAAAAAGAAAAACTTACTAATTTACAAATAGATCAAAAGCATCTGTTCGAGCTGCAATTACGCGCCTTTAACTATTTCTTCTTCGAAATATTTTTATAAGTGAGTCTGGTTAATGGTGGAGGTCTTTATGTTTTTTACTTGCTTTTTAATTTATAAAAAATAAAACTTTACACTGTAAAGTTTACAGAAATGTGTGCCATTTAATAAGTTTTTTTTATCGTGTTTTCATTACGAAGTGAGTCGAAATGTGTGTGCAAATCTCCATGTAGATGTTTGTGTGTGTGATATGCCAACAGCATATGAGATTTTGTTTCTACTGTTCTTTTTCTCTGATAACTTTCTTTCTCTTTGGCATGTTGGGAGAGAGAGAGAGGGTGTGTGTGTTCTATTTGTTTCATGATTAAACAAAAGTAAACGTATTGTTCGTGTGAAAATTATTATTTTATGTATAAATAAAAATACAAAATAGTTGTTATTTTAAAAGAAAATAACATTAAAGCCCAATTAATTAATTTTGTATATGAACATTATGGTAAATGTTTGCAGCACAGCATAGTTGCGTTTTTATTTACTGGCTGACTATTCACAAGATATCCACGTTACGTTATTTTCTCTTTGTTTACATTCAGCTCCCATATTCATTAATGAGCTATTTTCTCATTGCACCCAGTCCCCGTCTCTCACAGTAATTGGCAAATATGAACTTGTCAGTTTTGTTTTTGTTTCTTTTGTCTGATAAGAATTGTACAATGTTTTTGTGTGTTTTCTTCCATTCTTTATTTCTTGAAAATACTTGTCGATTTGATTCATATTGAATACTGATGTTTGTTTATTGACAATTATTCAAAGTGGCAACTAAATTTAATAACCAATTAATAATTATTTTGCTCTTGAAATAAATAGTTTACACACCACATCGGATTTGTTGTTTTTAAAGAAATGTTCGTTTTTTTGTATTTTGATTTATTTAGATTACCTAAAAAATATTTAAATTTGAATAGGCCAGATGACATATTATGAAACCGGGTTATGTTTTGTTGCCATTGAAAGTAAAACCTGTAAATAAAGAGGGCAAAATGTCTTGTATTTTGTATTTGTATTTTTGGGTGATCTTCGAAAATGTGGGAAACCGGTTTTAATGCTAATTGTGAATGTGATGCATATTTTTTTAATAAACAAATTTATTGCTCTAGCGTGAAAAAGGGATAAGTCTGTATTTACGAAAATCGGAACTAATAAAAATTAGCTACATATATTAAACATAAAACGGCAATTATTAATATTTCAACAACATTTTGAAGTCACACAAATGTTCACCATCTACAGAAATATGGGAGTATATCTAGAAAAGCACTGACGTATTAGATTCGGACTTCACAATTACTCCCACCTTAGCATATTGAGTAAGGTTAAGTTTAGTAGTAAAGATATTTCCAAATATACAATGTTCATATTGAACTTCTTTCAGCAGAAAAAATTTTACAAAAATATAAATTTAAGGGGACCCCCCTCATTCTCTGTGTCAGTTATTTTTATTTAATTCGAATCTACTCTAATTCTAGAATGTCCCTACAAATTTTCAAGTGAAAATCTTAAGAACTCTTGAAGATATAGCCCATCAAGTGACGGCAATAGTGATTCTCAAACTTTAAACGCATTTTTCTCGAAGCAGTGTTTTACAAATGGCGGGTACGATAACTCAAAAACTAATAATCCAATCGGTTCCAAATTTTGACACAAAAATGCTAGTTCATCGGAGCCAGATATGTACTCTTTCTAACACCGTTGGAATTTTCGGATTCCGATGTTCCAGTGACGAGTTATCATGCCCGCCATCAAACATAAGGACTTTTTTTCATCATAAAAAACAACAACAAAAATTTTTTGTAAATTATTTTTCTTTCTTTTTAAATCTTCAAATATTTATGTGCAAAGTTACAAAACCTCAACAAGCATTGGTATTCATTTGCCAGCGCAAATAAAAATCTTATTTTAATTTCATTGCAAATGATGTCCTGATTTTATAAAACATTGCGTTCGATCTGTAAAATAATTTTTTATATTTCATTATTTTGAAAACCCTCAATTAGAAGATTTTTAATGGGAAAATCACATAGATATGTACATTCATTTGGAAATCTTATTTTTAAATTTTCACATACCTGTTGACATTGACTTTTTTGTATTATTTTACCAACGACAAGTTTACACATGCAGGCGATTTCTTTTATTGTTGCGTTTATAGGAGATTATTTCGTTAAATAATAAATTTGAAAACACTAATTTCCTCAACAATTCAATTTATTATTGGATAGACATTAAAAACGGTGGCGAAACAGTTGACTGCTAAATAATTATTTGATGGAATTGATATAAATGCATGCAAGTTGATTGAGTATATATATAGACATATATTAGGGTGGTACCGATACTGACTAGAATTTTCTGTAAAAAAATTCAAATTTAAAAAAAAATAAAACTTTCCATTAAAATAGTTTTAGTATTGTACAATAGTTTGGTCATATAATAATTTGTATACTCAGTAAACAAAAAATTAGCAGAATGTATGTAGTCCGTGCTTTAATCGACCGACCATGTCGTTTGTTGGCTATTTTCATAACTGCAACCTTGGTGTTAGAAATAATTGAACTTTTTCTGGTGTTTTTTCTACTGCAATAAGTTTTTACGCTTGACTTCATTGCCGTAATTTTCTAAGTGATTATTGAAGTTTTTCCACAAATAATTTATTAAAATAATTTATAAATTGTTTGTACATATGCACACACTCCAATCTCCAGTCCGTCAGACAGTCGAAAACAACAAATGCAAAAAACGCAAAAATTTCATTTGACAATTGCAAATAATTTGGACTCAACAATTTTTAATTGATTTGATGACTATAAATAAAATAACACAAAAAAACTCTGAATGGGAGGAAAAATAAAGGAATACAAACAACGAAAAACATGTAAGAGGTGGTGAAGGGGGTTACAAAATTATTTTAAACCCGTCCGTCATGAGAAGGGGTTTTCTGGTCTGTGTGATCGCGTTGTTTCGTTTGATTGTCTTATCAATAAGTCAATGGACGGACACCTACAATTTGCGATGGTTTTGTTGTCGTTTGTGTTTTGTTTTTTATTATATTTTTGTGTTTCGCACGAATCATCAAGATTTGAATATTTTGTATTTGTAACCTTTATTCCCCAATAATGCACAGAGAAAAATTAATGTCGATCAAAAATGTTTTATTTGAATATTGTAACAAACAATACCGTTGATCGGTAATTCAACGTTTGAAAATTAGATGTTTGGAAGAAAATCTTCAAATATTTGCTTTAAAACATCACTGTAAATTTTAATTATACATGAAAGTATTTAGGAGTTCCGAGTTTTTTTATAATCTTTGTATTTGTTAATAAAAAAATATTCTGTCCAATTCAAAATATTCTTTCAGTGTACATACAAATTATTTCTTAAAGGTTCCGACAAAAATAATCTCTGGCTAATAGCGGCAGCAACGTGCTATGAAATGTCTGTGTAAGGGAAATTACATATTTTTTATAAAAAAAACGTTGCCCTTTGTTTTTTTTATGAAACAGCTTTGTATTACAACAACAAATTGAATACTTACAAACCTGCATTTTTTATTTTTGAAATACAAAAAATATGTGTTAAATTGCTTATTAATATTTTCGCAATGCCCCATTAGGAACAAAGGAAAATCTATAGCAATGAGGAATTGATTTTTCAAGACAAATGTCACGGCTATAGTCTGGTATGTTAAATTATTTTATGAAAGTTATAGAGTGGATAAAAATGTATTTGTTTCGCTATTTAAGACTCATGTCAAAATGAAATAATATTATTGGGGGTATATTGGTGAGTATATTCCCAGCTTTGTGTTCATATAGGTAATTTTGATTTCAAATATTTCAGTATGGAAAACATTACAAGTGTCATCCAGATTACCTGAGTTTGTCTGGTTCAAGTTATTACATCTTTATCCGAGTTGTGTTCCATTTTTTTGACCTGGTCTGGAAAATTTTACCGAACCGACATACAAATATAAACAAAAGGCGACTCCGATTGATTTAATTAAATCAATTGGAGTTGTTTTAAATCTGTTTCAATAGCAACAAAATCAGAATCTTAGTTAAGCAAATTATTATTTGTTTCCATACTAAAGTAAGGCGAATAAAATTTGTAATGAAACTTTTTACTTTTTTAATCATTGGGTTGGATATTGTTTCTGAACACCAACAACACAACTGAATATCTTGACTGCATTAAAACCAAATTCTTCCTATTCCACGTAAATTAGTTTTCTTCTTGCGTCGTATTGCCATGTCAAGAACAATTTAATCGAAATTAATAAAAAATAACCACAAAATCTCCAATGGTGTTCATGCTGCAAAACTTCATTAATGCCACACAATTAATATTATGCCTATTTCGGGAATAAAAATCACGTTTGCCTTTAAGCTACAATTTTCAAATGTGGTACCATCTTTGGCAGTAACAAGAATGTCTGTCAAACACTTAAAGCCAAGTGCTATTGAAGTGACCAGCTAGTCGCGCCATTGATTTCCTTACGAAATCAATTACGTTACAAAAAGTCTTCAAACAATAAATAAAAATAATGCATTGAACAATTTAACCGCATGGCTTTCAAAGCTATCTCTTAAGCGAGGTTTGATTACAAATTTGGGATAATCGCATCTATGAGATAGGAAATAATTCAGCATGGGAGATTTTAATATTTATGTAATATCTGTTATAAATATGTTACTAATAGTTTTGGTTTTGTAAAATTGATAGTTATAAAGGTGTAAATTAAAAGCACTCGAAAAGGCAGATTAAACAAAAACAAGAAAAGAAAAATCATTTAGACAATTAACAACATTTTTATAAGGTAATACATAAACGAGGATAAGGCTTTCAACTTGGGAATTTTTTTAGAAGTATATGACAGTTGGTCTGTTCCCGTTCTGCAAGAATCTACTAGTTTTTACTATTTTCTACGATATCGTAATAAAAATAGTAGATTCTATAGATTCGGGAACCGACTTAGTATGTTATTATACATTTGTTTAAATAATTATTGGTTTTCAAATTAAAATATATATATATATATATATATATATTTAATGTTTTTCATTATTTCTAGTTGTTGTTGCTTATATTTGTTTTTCATAATTTCGCAAGATATAAAAGTCGAACAGTGTATTTTTTTTTGAAAACAATTTAATCGAATAATAGATAAATAGCGGAAAATGACGAAACACATACACGTTTTTTCTCTCACTATTTCGATTGTTTATAAAGGTGTCTTCTTACAATGAACTTACTTCGTAGAAGCCACGCCATTGACAATGAATATGCTGTTTGATGTAAGTGTGTAACTGATATCTGGAATAAAAAAATGATGTCTTCTTTAGAAGACAATAACAAAAAAAAAAAAAAAAAAAAACTGACACATGTATCATAGGCAATAACAGATATTGTTTAAATGTTGAAATCATCGTAGAGAGATCTATTGAAATCATTTGGTCATAGGTATATAGAATATCAAAAATATAACTGATCACACTTTTAAAGGTTGAAATAAATTTTCCAAATTAACCGGAATTGGTAAATACACTAGATAGAAAAATTATCGATCCCCAATCCACTTTTATTTAAGGTTTCTTTATAATTATTTGCACATAAGAAAAGTTTAATTATTTCGTAGCTGAAATAATGTATGCTTTTAGGTTGTCAATTAATAAATGTTCAAGAGATAATCAATGCATTATATATAATAAAAATATGAATTAATGTCAACAAAAGGTGAATTGTTTTATGATTGGTCGTTGATTGTTAGTCATTAACCGCAGATAAAAAAATCACTTTCTTGACACATTGAGAATATTGCGTGTGCACAGAAGATATAGATATCTTTATAGTTGTAAAATAATATAATTTAATAGTTATTATTATTGTTAAACACACAATTCAAATAAAATCAAAGCATGAGCAAGACAAATATTTTAAAGTCGGTGATTTTTTGGATAACAAAAAATTTTATTATCTTCCTGAGACGGGAATTTTTCTTTCTGTGTAAAAACAAGAGTTAAAAACATTACCACTGTGAATTTAATAAGAGTTTATGACAACAGAAAATCAGGATTCCAGAGATTCATACTATAAATAACAATTCTCAAATAGATGTCGAATATTAAAATATTCGTACGGTTTTATTTTAAATTTTCATTAGTTCCATTGATTACCTTCAATTCCATGAGGTTCCAGTTCTTAGTCGTTTTTGTAATTCATAGGCTGTGAGGCATAGACATGTATAGAATAAATTGTCAACTTAAATGAAATTCCCACATCATACCCCTATAAGGTTGAATTATTTCAAAAATGCCTTTATAAGAACCGACAACATCAATGAACATGCCACATCAACTACTTTCTTCTTATCATTAAAAAACAACATCATTTGCTATTCTTGTAGTTGTAACTGTAAAATAGCAGCTATAAAATACACAAACTATTCTTATCACAATGGCATTTCCTCTTCCTAAAAAAATATTACTCTTTTAATAAAATAAAAAATATATATTCAACATGTATTTTAAAGCATTCTTACAAATCATTCTAATTAGTTTTGTTTTTTTTTTTATTTCAGATTATCCCACCAAAAGAATGTCATCAAATGATGGATATAATCGAAATGAGGATCCAAACAATGGCATTTCATCAGCAGATGATCTGGCCAGCAACAGAGTGCCTTCATCTACAACACGACTGCAACAACAGATAGTACCAAATGAGGCCACACATCTAAAGGGTCAATCCAAACAGGCCTATTTCAGTGATGAAAAAGTTCTTATACCCGAAACAGAATCGGTAGGTGACACTCTGTTTTTTTTTCATTTAATTCTTTTTTGATGAAAATAATTTATTAATTTTTTTTTTGCATTCTCACAGATTGGTTTCAGTTGGCGCAAATTATGGGCGTTCACTGGTCCAGGGTTTCTGATGTCAATTGCCTATCTCGATCCGGGTAACATTGAATCTGATCTACAAAGTGGTGCTGCAGCAAAATATAAAATTCTATGGGTTCTATTGTGGGCGACCGTGTTGGGTTTGTTGATGCAACGCTTGGCTGCAAGGTAGGCATCCGAACTACTAATGTCATTAAGAAAGAAACAATTAATGTAAATTATCTTTCTCTTTCCCTCTATCCGTCACAACAATAAAGATTGGGTGTTGTAACCGGTCTACATTTAGCTGAAATGTGCTATCGTCAATATAAAAAAGTGCCACGCTTTATATTATGGATAATGATTGAAATTGCAATCATTGGATCTGATATGCAAGAGGTCATAGGTACCGCTGTTGCAATATATTTACTATCCAATAAAGTGTAAGTGAATGAAATAATTTATTTTGAATTGAATTGAAGTTAGTCATATTTTCATCTTCTTCTTTTTCTGTCCATTGCAGCATTCCTTTGTGGGGCGGTGTATTGATAACCATAGTGGACACATTTACATTTTTGTTCTTAGATAAGTACGGTCTACGTAAACTTGAATTTCTATTCGGTCTTCTTATCACCGTGATGGCTGTGACATTTGGTTATGAGGTATGTATTGTGTTGTCTTGAGGTCTTATCAAATGGAATTGCATTTGATTCTGTGAAAATTTGCCTGTTTGTTTGTCTTGATACAGGTGTTTGTTCGCAGTTCGCTGCTTATGTGTTGTGTTTTAATTTTAGTCTAAATATTTGTTTATTTTATTTATGAGTTTTTCATTGATTCAGTGTCGCGACTTATCTGCAGTGGAAACATTATGTTAGTAGCATGAGCAAATTTAAAATGTATTTGCCAAACATTGAGAGGTTAGATTTAGTAAATAATCTAGGTTTTGGATTCGTATTATTTTAAAAAGGTTCTACTGTATTTGTATGTTTGTTTATGATGATGATATCTGTTAATTTTGCCATTGTTCTATATTTTCAGAATGTGTGAAATTATAGCAAGTCTTTTTATTTGTACAATAAGAACAATCCCACAAAGGCAGATTTAGCTGAGAAATTGATTTAATGAATGTTGTAGTAAATCTTTTGTAATTTGATGAATTATAAATTATGATTAGATGAAAACATATGATAAGAAATGTTGAGAGTATGTAATCACAGGCAAAATATGGCACTCAAATACCAGACACCTAGCACAAGTAGAATTTTATTGAAGCTTTCACTAAAGATTATAAAATTAATGTCCAAAGGATTTGATTTTGTTAGTCACGTATAGAGATTAAAAAATAGAATGGACAATGGTTTGGAAGAATTTTGAACATATACCTAGAGAAGCCGAAATTATATATATGAAAATTCAAGTTTTTAGAAGATATTAATTAATGGTTGTTTGTCTTTTAAAATAACATACGTTTAAAATGTGTTGAAAACTGTCGAAAAAGATATAGAAATATGTTATATATCTATATCTTAATCCAAATTACACATATATATTTAATTGTGGGTATCTTGTACTTTTTTCCCTTTTAGGGGGTTCACTTTCAATTTGTTTGAGATGTGCTTCATACTTCAGAAAATTTCCAGGAAAAAGCTGTTATTTATTTATTGCGGATGTCTTGTAGCTTGTGTGTTTTGTTTATTTAACGAAAGGGAAATGCACATCACAGAAAGCAAGACACATATTAAAATTTACATTCATCACTTGTGCTACATACACATACAAATATCTATAAAACATTCTTATCTATTGTTTTTTTATACCCACTACATTACTTTGGGTCTAAGGAGAGTATATTTATTTCAATTCAAACGTTTGTAACGCCATAAAGAGTTATTTTAGATTCATATTTTTCAAAATGAATATCAACGGAGGAAGCTTTTTGAATTAAAATATGCTTTACTATTGGTAGTATCTCTTTTGTCCCCAGAAATCAAAGAAATTATAGGGTACCCAATTTTCGATCTAGCTATAAAAAAATTTAACTACACTAACTAAAAACAAACGCTATAGTATATTAAAATCTATATTGGCCTCATGTTGACCTTCATTTTCAGTTATTCTTTTTGTTATTCTTGTATAGACGGTATACAAACAATTCTAAACTCATCACATTAGTTATCTGCCTGCATATTGTAAATATGTACATATATGTCACAATCTTCTTCATTTATTGCTCAAATATTTACAGTGGGTGTGAATGTGTACGGGTTGTTTCCTTTTCTCGTGGCAGAGAAGCAACACTTGAGATAATTACCCAGTAGTTTTGTTTGATTTCGTGAAATTTATGACACTTGCCTCATATTTTAACTGACTTTTTTATAGTTGTCGCGTCAACCACTTCAGAGGTTTATCGTCTACGTGAATAATGTTTACTCTTTTCTTTGGATTTTATGATTAAACAAATCTAGTATTTTCTTAGAAGTTTTTTATGGAAAAGTAAAATAAACAATTTTTGGCACTTCCTGAATATATCATAGTGACAAGTATTAAAAAAGGCAGATAACTGTATTTATATTAAATAATATAGTTATCATATAATTAATACATTCTTATAAAGATTCTGTGGTATTACCCTTGTATCCATATTTATATAAATTTAATTTCCTACATATACCTACTTATCACCTGTCCTTCTTCTTTCTTTTTCCAGTATGTTGTTTCGGCTCCCAATCAAGGCGAAGTGTTGGAGGGTATGTTTATACCCTGGTGTAAAGATTGCGACTCACAAGTTTTGCTGCAGGCAGTAGGTGTAGTGGGCGCTGTTATTATGCCACATAATTTATATTTGCATTCCGCTTTGGTTAAGGTATGTCGGACAAAGATAAACATGAGATTTTATATTTATCTGTAATTATTCATAAAATTTAAATATTGATTTATTTTCTTTTACAGTCTCGTGATGTTGATCGTCGTCAGCCAACTAAAGTTCGTGAAGCCAATTTTTATTTTTTCATTGAAGCCTCAGTGGCTTTGTTCGTTTCCTTCATTATTAATTTGTTTGTTGTATCGGTATTTGCCCATGGAATGTTTGGTAAAACAAATGCTGATGTGGTAAGTTGATATAATGCCACCATGATTTGCAAGAATCACTTCAATTCAATTATTTTTACTCCTACAGTTACAAGTCTGTGAAAATCAACCAATGTACGCAGATGCCGTCATCTCATTTGGCAATAATACCGAAATCATTGATGCCGATTTGTATAAAGGTGGCTTATTTTTGGGTTGTACATTCGGTGCTGCCGCCATGTATATTTGGGGTGTTGGCATTTTGGCTGCTGGTCAGAGTTCGACAATGACTGGTACATATGCCGGTCAATTCTCGATGGAGGGTTTCTTGAATTTGCAATGGCCCAGATGGCGTCGTGTTTTGTTCACTCGGCTCATTGCCATTATTCCCACATTCTTTTTGGCTTTCTTTAGTCGCATGGAAGATTTAACTAATATGAATGATATATTGAATGCAGTTATGTCATTGCAATTGCCATTTGCTGCCATACCAACAATAGCATTTACATCGTGTTCAGCAATTATGGGTGAATTTGTTAATGGAGTGTAAGTATTTTAATTTACAGACAGAAACATATTTCATTTGTCATAACGATTTGAAATGGAAATCTAATACGGTGAATTCTCGATAAATGCGAACATTCAAAACATTGAACTCTCGATAATGCAAACTAATTAATGTCGGGGTAGTTCATATTTTCTAATTTCTTAACATTTCGATATTTTGACTTACAAATTAATTTGAAAATTAAGATCACTATGAGACTGTTTGATAATTCCATGTAAAAATAAACTTTTATTTTGTTTTGAAAATAAATAAAGAATGAGTGTCTAGTTTCGGAGATTTCATGACAAATTGTATCGAATTCATTTTCATCATGAAAGTTTCCAAAGCAATTACCTTGACATTTTTATTTTAATATTTAATTTAATAATTTAATTCATTAATAATATAATTTTTGTGTATTTTTTTCTTTACAGAGGCAATAAAGTTGTTTCAATTTTATTAACTATAGTTGTTATAGCTGTTAATTTATATTTTGTTATAAATCAAGTTGAAGCTTTAAGTATTGAAGGAGGTGTTTTAGCTGTAGTCTGTAAGTACTCATTTTTTAATTTTGAAAGTAATGAAATGCCAAAAAACTGATGAACAATCTAATAAGATATCTGTTATAACATTTTAGACGTTTTGCAGAATCTTTGAGAATAAAAGTGAAGTAATTCAAATGTGTAAGAGAATCATTGAGAATGAAAATTGCTGTAATAAAACGAATACTAAACGAAATATCTTCACCACCTGAGATATACCTCATTTATATATATTTTTGGTGTGTAAATGTCTTGAAAGAACCTTGTTTATAGGGTTTGACACCCCGATTTCAAGAAATTTTACATTAAGATTTGAATCATTTTTGTCGATTTTTCATTATAAAGAATCTGCACAACTGAATTAAATTGAACTTATAGCCTAATACGCTATTCTTCTACTGAAATTAAAAAAATGACTCATATTTATTAACAAACATATTAAAACATATAATTGTGATTTTTGATTACTTTTTTGGCATTTCTTCTTTTCCTCTTATACATTCAAGTGTAAATTTTAATATCAACTATTGTTTTTTACAGGTATATTTGCCATTTTATATTTATTATTTAATCTATATCTTGTGATACATATGATTGCGTGCATGGGCAATAAAAGCTTTATGAATAATCGGGTAAGTTTTTTTGTTCACATATATAAAATCTATTTGTTTTCTATGCCAAATTCTATTACAATTATCGTATGTACACTAAGACGCCCAGCATTTGGGAAAAGCGTATTTCGTATCTTTGTGAAAGAGTTTCGGCTACTAGAGCTTATTATTATGCAAAACGTAAAAAATGTTATTTTGAAATTCCCCTCCTTGTCGGCGGCATTGTTGCTATTAAACAATGTTCTTATGTATGCCAGTCAGAGTGGATTAGTTCTTTCAAAATTTTCTTTTGTCTTCCATTTTTGTTCAGCAGTTTAATGAACTTTAAAATTATGAGTTTTATGTGAATACAGTTTCATAATTTTTTTTTCTGTTGCCATACCAAAAAAGTATTTATTTTTTATCAGTACCCATACTTATGAAGGGGGATTCCTTTGATTTTTTTATGACTCAAAAATCGTCTACTTTAAAACAATTTGACAACTTCAATCTCAAAAGGGTATTGATTAAACTAACGTGCTAATTGTTGCTATCGTTCACAACAACATTTATTTGAGGTATTACACATTTTTTTGCACATTCGCCCCGACAATCACGTAGATAGATAACAAAATTCTTATTATCTTTCGATTCTGGTTGTATATCATAAAATTACAAAATATCTGGAAGATTTTAAAGTTGTCATTTGAATTGATAGACGTTTGTAGGTATAACAAATATTGTTAGACAACTAGTTTCAACAATGAAGAATACTTAAATGCTATTATCAATATTCTAGTATGATTTGTATTTTTCTTTCAAAGAATTATAATTCAAACTTTATTTAAACCCTCAAAGGCATACAATGTTGACAGCATATTTTGTACTTCAAGGTAAAATATCAGTAATAAGAACGGCGGATATACAGAGCATGGTAACACTAATGTTAAATATCAATATCACTCGACTCGAATGAAATTAAAAATCCGAGGATGTGAAATGATGAAGGACTAGCTTAAATTTATGTAGTCAGGGTAAGACTTTGCAATCGACAGGTCAGACCAGGACTTTTCAACTGAACTGTTGTATATCCAAAGTGTATATCTTTAATTTTATTAATTGTTATTGAATTGAAATATTTATTATAACCCAATATCCTTGCTTATCTAATTAAGTTAACATAATGGTTTCTTTTTTATATTTACAGTGGGTCCAAAAATGGGTACTTCCAAGCCAAAATAGTTTTTCAATAAAAAATGCCAATTCCACATATGCAAGGTAAGTCGGAATCTATACAAAACTCTTATTTATACACAAAAAATATGCACACACACAAAAAACAAACAAATCTGGCTGAGCACGCACTCTATTGAATCTCTAACAAATGCACCTCTATTATTTTTTATTTTCCAATTTCCTTGCACCATTTTTTCGTTCTTAAAAGATTTATAACAAGAATCTCCACAATTTAACTCTATAAATACTAAAACTTTAAGTTTTTATCTCTGTCTTCTTTCCTTGGTATGTCTTTTCTACTATCACTTTCTCCGAAATAACATGTAAACTTGTACTAATTTTTTCAACATTTTCTTGGAAAATTTTCCTAATTTTTTTCTCTAACAGTGGTGTATCAATAGAAATAGTAAATGCAAATATACCTAACAGTCTACCACAATCACAACTACCACCTCCTTCCATTACCACCGTATCGGAAAAAATCCAATAATCCCATCATAATACTCCTCCACATGCTTTCCCAAGCTAAATAAAAATAAACAATTGTAAAGGGCAATAAACAAATAACATAATAATTAAACAAGTGTTTGTAAATAATTAAAATTTAAACATTATATTATATTTTATATTTATTTTTTTGTTAATATTTAACTAATTATGCTAATAAATTATTTGTTTAAGTTTTTTTAGTAATATGTAAAAGTAGTAAATGTAAATACCATTATAAAAATAATTATATAGTGTAATATCGTATATCTAACTGCTTTGTATATATATGTGCTTTATGTATATGGAAATAAGTACAAAATATTATAACCTTATTTTTTTAATATTTAACGCTGTGTATTATTTTAATTTTGTGTATTATTTAAAATGTTTTTTTTTTTTTTAATTACTTGGTTTTTGTTTTATGGGTGGTATTGAAACAATAATCAAATCCAAACCTAATACTCTTTATAAATTATTTGTATGTTTTATCCGCACAAGAATTGATGACAGCGTGCTGTAATTAATTTGATTACTTTTTCCATGTAAACTTTTGTACTTTTTTCTGATCATTTGAAATAATGGAATTGTTGAAATCCGTTGATTAGATTTTGAGATATTATACAGACTTATTCGAAATAAGTATTTCTTTGGGTGAGAATTTATAGCTTCGGCCTCTGTTCTTTTAATATTGTACCTACATCCTCCGAACTGTAAATTTGATGCATAGTAACATAAACAGCCTTATTCTGGACATCAATTCGCCGTGCATTTGTTCGCTATTCCCTTTAAAGTTATTCTGAACCAGACATCGCAGCGAATTTGTTCGTATTTTCACTTTCCCTTATTTTGAATGAAGGTCAAAAGCGGAAAATCCGCTTTGGGAAAAAATTAATTATTCTGGATTACAGGACATTTTGTGCGATTTTTTCGCAAATAAATTTAAAGAGAGCTGACAACAAAAATATATGTATAACATATTTTTATGAAAAATATATATACACAATACTTATTCTATGACAATTTTGAATATTATAAATGGTTGTATGCATATTTTTTTAACTCAAAATCATTGGAAATCCCATTGATAACGATGCAAACTCAACCAAATAGTGCCCCGGAAGTTATAAAGGCTAAATAATATTTAAGACATGTTTAATGCAATTTGGTAGCGAAATAAATTCATTTTGTATAAATTATGGAAAAACTACTTAGCCAAAATTGCCAGATGAGCCGCTTAACAGTGAAAAACTCAAATAAAAATTATGAAAGGACAATAATAAAGCTATAAAATAAAAATTTTTTCTTTCAAATTTATCGTGTGTCTGATTTATAGGACGAAATAAAGGAGGAGCAGCATACCATAAAATAATTGGCCACTTGAAGAATTTTGGGAAATAAAATAAAACGGCATACAATTATGTAGTGAAAAAATAAACTGCAAATTAATTTAATTCATTCGCATGTTTCTTCCCATTATTCGTCGTTTCTTTGTTCTTTTATTTGGATTCTGTTGTAAATTGCATCAAAGCAATAATCAGCTGTTTCACATAATTTATTTTCTTTATAATTAACAATTTTTAAAAGAAAATCAATAAATAAAATATCACAAAATTAAATTACAATGGGGCAACGCACATTACAACTTAAATTAAAATATGGCAACTCGAATCTTTTTTCAACAACCATTTTCGAAAATTCGAATCCGCATCTCGCATTTTTTGCTTCTCCCTATTGGAAAGCGAAATTTTTTCACAAGCGATATATCTCCCTAGCGAATATCCAGAATAAGGATATTGTAATGAAACCACATTTAATTGTTAATGTTTTTTAATTTAATTTTTAAATTTTGTTCTCTTCAATTTATCAACAAAAATATCAAATCAATGTGGTATGTTCTTTGGTGAATCTTTTTAAAATTGTAAATGAAAAATCAAAAAAGATTTCGAAACATAGAATATTATTGCAGTTCTGGAAAACAAATTATATTTTAAAGCAACTAGTATTTGTAATATGGACTAGGACTGGATTCAAAAGGAATGTTGCATGGGATTATACTTACAATACGTTTCTCTTAAATCTATAGAAAAATATTTTTTATTTTTATTTTGGAATGCATGAATACCCAATTATTTGAGTTGTATAGGAACTACTATGCATGGTAAACAAAACATTGGGAATATAGGGTTGGTGGATTTGGAGTATAGTATGTAGGATATATGGAATTTAAAAAAGAAACTACAACTTAATTCAAATATTCTGATATTATAATTCAAATCCTATATCCACTTTCCATTTCTTCAATGTTTAGTGTATAAATACTTCTTACGGTTAGTGTTATGTGAAATTCAAAACGAACAAAAAAAAACTTTTGAATGGTTTTGGCTTTTCCTTACATTTAACTTATGTTTATGTGTGTATTATCATGTTTTTTATATACTTTCAATTATAATTAATTATTAAATATATATTTCTCTGTTTTCTGTTTCATGTCAACAAAACATTTGTTGTCCAATTTTGTTTTTTTGTATTGCTGTTTTTTATCTGTTTTAATTGTATTCCTGTGTGTATTGTGACGGTATCTTGGTGTGTGCCTCCTCCATAAATTGATTGAAATTATACACAATTTGGCCATAATGACTGCTAAATCGAAATTCAAAATTTCTCTAATGACGATGACCGTTGAAAACATTTTGGAAAATGGACAAAAACAAAAATCACTCAACACTACAACACAAAAAATACATTCCCTTTTGGCAAACAAATTGTCTATGAAATTTGTTATTGTAATGGAATTGAACAACACACAATACCAATAATCTTCCCCCAAAATATGTGTTTTAACAATAACAACAAAATACAATTCGTATTTTTTTGTCTGTGGAAAACTAATAACAACTAAAAATTAAAACAAAAAGTATTTCTTATAATTTGCAAAGATTTCAAAAGTGCTAGTTGAACGTCCCATTACCCTACTATTATAATCTAATAAATTATATTTTATATAAAAAAGAAAAAAAAAAACAAAAATTAGCCAGATGGTGAAAAACAAGTGTCTCTAATCTATGTTTATTGTTGGCATCAAATCAAAAAATATTGAAAAAAAGCACAAAAAGAAATTTATTGATTTTTCTATATTTTCAACATCTTCGATATATATACAACGATATATGAACAACCACCATAATTGATATTAAATCATCTGGACCTGATGCTGGCTGCCGCACAATGTCATGTGCCATATATAAATTAAAAAAAAAATAAAAACGAAACAAACGGATTGTGCTCTGATGGCAATTTGGAAAAACCATCCAATTTAATTTAATAATTAAAAAAAAAAAAAAACAAATAATCAATTATAATTGGGGTTTTTCTGTTTGATCAAATGGAAACCATTCAATGGGTATTGGATCATCTTATGTTTGTGGATTAAACAATTGTACGGATTTTGGAATCGATCAACATTACATGTATGGTTTACATAATAAACAAAATTGTTAATGGCCATAATTTAAATATTCATTTTTCGGGGGGAAATCATCATCAACCACCGCTTCATCGCTAAATACCATATCTCTTCATGGATTTGAAAAAAATAACACTTTTTATAGTGAATTGTCATTACATGACAGTGGCATACCGGTATTTTCGTTATCATATCGAAATTATTGAAAATGTTTATTATTTATTTTATATTTCTCTTGTGATTATATTTATTTAATAATTTATTACAATTTAAATATACAATTTTTCTTTGTATAAAGCTTTGTTTAATTCGCACATATACATATGATTAAATATTTTATAAAATTTGTATTTTTTTGCTTCCGTTCCTTGTCCATTCATAATTGTATATTATATTTTTTTAGTAGTTCATAAGTACATAGTTATAAAATTTGGGGTACTTAATTTTAGTAATACGTTGATTAAGAACAAACTTCTTATATTTTGTTAATAAATAATTAATTATTTGGTTATTGTGGTTTTAATTTGTACATGGTCATTAAAATATATTCTCATTAATACTAAAAATCAAGATGTGACATACGACTGGATATTGAGGGGATCGTGAAGCGTCTTTGAAGTCTAATCAGAAATTATGAAAACATTATAGAAAATTGAGGTCTTAGAAAAATAGGTCTTTAATGGTATGGGGGACCTATAAATCTCAAAAAGAAGTTCATGTCTTCAGTCTTTGAAATCTAATCGGCAATAATCAAACCGATATGAATTTTTGAATACGATTTTACAAACCAAAGCACCAAATATATATTTTAGAGAGAATGGTAAAGTATAGGAGTACCTTCGGACTTTGAAGGAATAATGAAAATGGAATACATAAATTTGAAAACTATCGGGCATGTATGGAATCGCAATTTCTGCAAATTACCATGTTGACGTTTATTTTATGGTTGTACAGAAGAAAATTTCAATTCACGTGAGAAGCAGAAGAAGTGGTAACTTCTGAGGGGAAGTGTAAAAACACACTGTGTTTTCTAGAACATATAATCTTTACTACAAATCTACCTACCTAAATGAATTCTTTTAACGAGTAAAACTGAGGGGTACTTGCATGCTATATAGACGATCTCGAGTTTCTTCATTTTCTCTAAAAGCGCTATATGCCGAATTTTGATGTCCATAGACGACTATGTGTATAGAAGACAAATTTGATTTACTTTACCAAATCTTGCGGTCTTGTATGAATTTCTTTAAAGAATGAGGCGAATTTAAAAAAAGCCTTTGGCTGAAAGCTTTGTTTAAAATTACTCTATTTCATTCAAGAAGAATCTAGGATTTATTTTGTTGTTAGACTCCGTTATCGATTGTCAGACTGACTGATTCAGTGAGTAAATCCGGTGTCAATCATGACTTTAGGTGTTAAATGGGACAGCAACAGTCTTCATTGAGCTTCCAGTGCAATTGAGTTATTGCAAAAGGGCGTACAATCCCATAAGAATGTTATGTGGGAGAAAATTTGGGATTTATGATTGTGCATTGTTGCTTGTGCTCGAACTTTAATTGATCCGATGTGGGACTCTTCGCCAGACCTGTGTCTTTTTTTATTCCAAAATGAAATTAGAACGATATTAATAGGGAATAGAAACATACAGCCGTATTCTGGATATTCGCTAGGGAGATATCTCGCATGTAAAACATTTTTCTCGTTCACATAGGGAGACGCAATAAGACTGAAAATATCGAAATTAATTAAAAAGGCACACAATTATGTAATGAAATAATAAACAGCGAATTTATTTAATTCACTGGCAGATTTCTTCCCATTATACGTTGTGTTTTTGGCATCCTTCAATGCGGCTTTTGCCATCATAAAAAATGTTCTTTTATTATTAATCTGTTGCATCTGTTGCACAAAATTGCATCAAAGCAATAAACAGCTGTTTCACATGCCGTTGTATGCTGCCATATTTTCAAACTTTAATTTCCTTTAATTACAAGCAGTTTTACAGTGGATTCTTGATATATCGCATTTATATTGTTATAAAGTTTAAATAACAATGAAAAGTAACAATTTTAAAAAAGAAAATCAATAAATAAAATATTGAAAAATATTACAAAATTAAATTACAATGAGGCAACACACATTACAACTTAAATTACAATATGGCAACATGAATCTTTTTTCAACGAAAATTCGAATCCACATCTCGCATTTTTTGCTTCTCCCTATTCACATTCAGAATAAGGCAAGAATGTGAAAGCGAAAATTTTTTCACAAGCGAGATCTTTCGCTAGTGAGTATCCACAATAAGGCTGATAGTTTACGGAATTGGTATTCATGATTGGGCGGTATATTTAAAATTAGAAGATATTTATTTCCATTAAAAAATATTTTTTTATTTGTGTCATTCCATTTATTTATGGTGGAGGTATTCAGGTGTTTTCCTTTTAAATTTAACAGAAACAGATTTCATAATTAATTACATTAGTAGTGCTATGTTTCTTAAACTTCCCCCTTTTCCATTATAAAAAAACCTTGCTTTAAATCGCATACATGTTTTTCACTGTCTGTCAACATTCCTACTTTGTAGTTTAATTTTCTTGCTTTTGAGAAATTTACCACATCACACGACATTATAACCATTAGTTACTTATTATTTACAATTTTTTATTGTTGTTTTTGTTCCTTTTTTAGCCCTGCTTATGAATTATTTGAATAATTTTGTAAAAATACATTGAATTTATTAAAAATAAACTTGTATATTTTTTATAATCGCTGCATTGTAGTGTTGTCTTTTATTTACTTTTGAGTAGACAAAAATGTTAATATGTCAATTGTTTTATTTAATTTGTTAATATTAAAAAATATAATGATATTAACGTAAGTATTTATGAATATAAATTAGAGCGAGCTCTGGCGCGATTTCAAATGTGCGGGCAACACATTTCTTGAAAAGAGTTTTACCATATATTAACATATCTATTCCGATCATCATCTATCTTTCGACATCACTTCGCAACGACATCGACATCACTTCGACACTGATTTGGTATTCTGTAACACTCATGTGACGATATCGACTATTTATCGATAATATCAAAAAAAAAAAAAAAAAACACCTCTCTAAAATTGTGGTCAGCTGTTTATTTTGTTTGATATTTTTGTGCAAAAATGTGTTTGTATCCTTCACCGCACCGTGGCACAGGACATTATGTCTTGGTACATGTGTTTGCAACATCCAAAAAGAAACGAGATAGACCCATAGTTACCTTTTAGTATATACATAGAATTATTTTTCAGTCGATTTATGCATATCCATCTATCCATGTATTATATTAAACAAGTTACATGACACCATTATGATCCGAACGGGATGAAATTTCGAAAAATCCATCCAATTGGCATGAAATTTTATTTGGCACATAGACGAGTCTTATTGATATTGGTCAAAATCAGTTCAGATTTATATATAGATCCCATATATTTGTCTTTATTTACACTTTAATTTGCATTACGTATTGAATAGATTCTAGAATGATGTGTCCTGTTCTTGTCCAGTCATCATCCGTCGTCAACAAAAACTATGACGAAGAAATCTTCGACATCGTCGTCGTCGTCACACTTTGTTACGGAATACCAAAAAAGTTTCAATAGTTATCGATAAATGTCGACAACGACATAGAGAATACCAATTTGCAAAAGACGACTCTCTTCGACGTAGTTTTGTGTCGACGACGACATACGGAATAGGTGTGAATATTCTAAATCGTCATAGAATAAGTATTGTGTAGATATTTCTCATAAAAATATTTATTACTTATGTTTTTGTAATCAACTCCCTTTAAATTTATTAACGAAAAATTTCGAACAAAATGTCTTCTCATTCTACCAAAAAAATTCGCTGTGAATTGTTGTTCCGCATAAGTCGAAGGAGAAGAGCGTATTCACGTGGAATTGACATCCAGAATAAGGCTGAATTATTCCAAAATCTGCAACCTTTCTGGACATCAATTCACCGTGAATTTGTTCGCTCTTCCCTTTCATGTTGTTCTGAAGCAGAACTCGCACCGATTTTTTTCGCATTTTCATTTTCCTGAATCAAGTTCGAAAGCGAAAAAATCCGTTTTGGGGAAAAACTAGTTATTCTGGATTACATGAAGTGGGAGATGTGATGACATTTTGTGCGATAAATTTCGGTAATAAATTTACATTACAACTTAAATTACAATATGGCAATTGTCGAAAATTCGAATCCGCATCTCGCATTTCTTGCTTCTCCCTATTCATTCAGAATAAGAGGAGAATGTGAAAGCGAAACAATTATCACGAGCGAGATATCTTCCTAGCGAATATCTAGAATAAGGCTGAATGTGTCCTGGATGAGCCCCATTTCTTGAGAATTTACTGAAATTGACTGATTTGGATCGCTTGGTGCGGTTGTCTGAACAGTAGTGATATTTTTCGCGACTTCAAATATACCGTTGATTAAAAATTGGACGCATTCTAACGCTTCGGTCTTAGACCCAACAATTCATTAGTTTGGAGATTTTGTGAATTAGTATCATTTGCAGATTTTGTTCGTTTAGGTACTCTTTCTTTCTTGAATTTCCTAATAAATTTAACGCTACAGTTCGATTATGAGTGTAAAATTGTGTTCAGAAATTCAATTAAATTTTGTTAATGTTAAAATTATAAAGAGAGTGCTTTCATTCGAGATTCTATTTCTTTAGTGACTTCTCTGAAGAAGTTCGCTTTTTTTTACTTTTTATTAATAAAAAATATTAATTTCTTTGAACGAGATATTTGGTCGATTTTCTACGGATAATACGCAGAAACGGCAACACAGCTGTATTTACAGATAAAAGCTTGCGTTATACTAATTAAAGCTTCGTTTGAACTTATATAAAAATAATGACTACTAACACGCAAGCTTTATAACAAGATAAAATGTTCTTAAACAAGAAGTTTATAAAATAACGTCTAAATAAAGAGAGCTTTAATGCGTGTGCTCAGCCAGTATTCAATTAAAAATTAAATTTATTAATATTTCATATTATACTTGCAAATATATTTACCTGCTTTGTTTCTATTTTTTTTTTGCAGAATATCTACAAATCCCGATACCGAAGTTGATATCAACAACGAAGAAGATGCGTAGCCATTATTGTGTGGTGCCGATACCGATGATAGCAGCAGCAGTCATTCAAACGATGAAGATTTCCAAATTTTCAATCAAACCCAATACCGATGTGATGTTGAGGTTCATTCACA